ATATATATAAAACGTTTAATCTGCTTGAGTATTCATTATTAACGTATAAATGTAATAAATAATTGACGACATGGGTGGGTGAAGATTTTCTGAGTTGCAGTTTTTGCATAAATACAAATTTTTGCGAATATTTTGACGTGAATCATTAAATAGAAGATATAGACTAGACAAAGATCTTATAGATAGTAGTTTGTGCAGCTAAAAATACTTTCATTGCGAACTTCTCAAAAATTTAGTTTCGTTACACAATACCTTCATCCACTTATGTCTTCAATTATTGACTTAAAATTATTTTAATATCATTTTTATTGAGATTCAGTGGCTTCTGTATTATTTGTTTTCATATGTTATCCTACTATAAATGTATTACATATTAAATAACTAATATTGACCAATTCGATTGCTTATTCTTATTATTTTATGAAATTGTGGTCTCTTGCTATTGTACTCTTTCTTTATCGTCATCATATAAAAATGTTAGCTAAATAGCACATTAAAACATGTAAAAGACACGTAAAAAGCTGCTTACATAAAAAAATACATAGGAACAGTCAATACCTTTCTGTCCGAGCGTTATGAGAACCTCGTATTTTCTTTACAAAAATAACATTCATTGTATTTTTTTCAGTCATTAACTTGCAGGTACATTAAAAAAAAAATCAATTTTCTACTTGTTCGAAAGATTGAAAACAGTACAGAAACGTAGGTACAGTACACAGACCATGTGCAACGACAAATAAAGAAATAATATTAGTATTACACACTGTACACTGCAAAAATAGAAAAATATTGACTTTATCTCTCACAAACACTTAAAAAATTGTTATGATATGTACTAGCTTTAAATTATTTACAATACAACTAACTACCCTAATATGTAATAAAAAGTAAAACAAAAAAGTTACAACCATATATAAAAAAAGAGTATTAGTATAAATGCTGTTCTTAGACGACTATTGTAAATAAAATAGAGAGAAAAAAGAAATGGCACTATTCACAGCAAATTGCAACTTAAAGATTAGTAGAATTTAATCATAGGTACTCAGACGTCTTCGTTCGTTAGGGGCGGTATTTCGTCAACCCTGCCTTGCAGCAGCCCTGCCTTTTCTTCTTTAACATTCCCAGTACCATTAAACACCGATTCGTACAATGGATTCGTAAAGTTACCACTCTATACAACAAAAATAACGCAATGAAATAAAATATGCGACCTGAATTCAATTTTTAAATTAGCAGTAAAGCAAGTGGTTAGGTAATGATAATTTTGGTGTCCTGGCAGGACGAAAAATAGTTTTTCCTACCTGGCATAATTTTGTTTATATCAATAGTTGTAAAATAGGTTTTATAAAACCTCACGTGCGGAGTAACTCTAAAAGAATAGGACACGAGGCATTGTATGCTTAGTATATTTACTTATATGTAAAATTTAATTCATATCACAAGTAAATTTCAATGAAAATCAAAATAAGTTGATATTAATCGAAAAAATCTTGTGTTACATGTTTAGCTACTTTATGCAAATAATGAAGGAATAACAAATGTAAGTAGGTCTTTAATATTAATAAAAAGATCTCTTTTAGTCCTGCCAAAAATCCAAAATTAGCATAATGAGTTCATACCTTGTCTGCATCTAATGTAAACGGTTCAGTGTCTCTCTCCTGATAAATCGGATTATTAAAATCATTTTCTTGTAACCTCTCGTGTAAGAACGGTCGTCTCCTTTTGATTATGATGTATGCAGTTGAAGCAGCTCCGGCAACAATAAGTAATATTCCAAGACTGAATATAAGAGGCAAGAAAATGCTCGAATCGCTGTTATCTGATGATTTCTGCGTTTTCACAGTAAGAGATGTTCCGCATTGGATTCCCTCATATTCGGGTGGACAGATGCAGTACGGCATACCTTCGCTGTCCATGTAGCAGGTTCCCTGGTTCTTGCAGTACTGGAGGCATTTCAACGGAGTCTGACACGAAGTGCCTCCCCAGTTTTCCGGACAAAGGCACATAGGAGTTGATCGGAGGCCGTCTATTACACATAAACCTCCGTTCAGACAATAAGAATTGCATGGATTATCATGCCCCATGTAAATCTTAAATAAATAAAAAAAAAAAACAATAAAAGTATAATAATTAAAACATAGGACCATACAAGGTAACAAGATTGCTGATGAGTTAATTAAGACAAGAACTTTTAGATGGGAGTCTTGCTCTTTGCTATAAGTAAAAATTTTATAAAAAATGATATGGGAAAGAGATTGGAAAACAGCAAGCAGCTGTAATCGAGTTGGGTAGAAATACACCTGGTAGAACTGACGATATCCTAGTTATAGATCAAAAAAGATCAAGTTACTCATGTACTCATTCTACATCTATACAATTACAAAAAACCGTAGAACGAAGAGAGGATTATTAGATATAACTAATACACAATTAACATTTACCTCGCACAGTTTTCCACCCCATGTTTTTTCACACGTGCATATTATGTGATCACCCCATTGATGGCAGGTACCGTTATTCTTACAGGAACAATCACATTCCCGTGGTCTATTTGCCTTCGTGCATAAATCAATTTCGCAACGACGACCACCAAATCGTGACGGACACTCACACTCTGGCTCTTTGACGCCCAATCGACACGTTCCCCCATTCTGACAATGCATGTGGCATGCGTCGTTAGGAGCCATGTTACCACCTCGACGTTTTTCGCATCGGCGTCCCGCAAACCCTGGAGGGCAAGTACATTCCAGCCCTTCGGAGCACGTGCCACCGTTTTCACAGTAACCGTCGCAACCGGTCACGTTACAGTTGCTACCCCGAAAGCCCTGTATACAATCACAAACGGATTTGGCGTTGCCCCCTTCTCCGGTCCGTCGACAAATGCCGTCGTTGAGACATTCGAGGTCCAGGCAATGTTGACACCTGTTGCCTGTGTATTCTGGTTGACAGTTGCACCGAGCCACACTAAGGGCAACGTTGTAACACGTGCCATTGTTATAACACCAATTCTTGCACTTGTTAACGGGTGATTCGCAACGTTCTCCCGTCCACTGGGGCGGACAATTGCATTTTAGAACGGGCTGGCCATCAGGTGACGATGCTAATAGGTCTGGGTAGCACATACCCTTGTTACGGCAGTATTGGGAGCATCGATAATGTTCGCAGTGTTGTCCTGTGTACAGTGGATGACATACGCATTTTGGTGCTTGACCAGGAACTATTTTGCACACACCATTGTTACAATTGAGGGGGCAAGAGACAGCGGACGTAGTGCTCGCATGGCACGTCTGTAAAACAACGATTATAAGGAATAACATCTTTCAAAAATATTTCGACTACAAGTGATCAGAAATTGCCATAATAAAAACATTTTCTCATGTAAAGTTTAAAAGGGCGGTAATTCCCAGTCAGCTTAGTGAATTATACAAATTAATTTTTATTGTTACCTAATTAGATGCACAGGGTTGGATTTGACTGTTTTTAATATTTCCGGAAAGAAAATCAGTAAAATACTAATATATGAAGTTAAACAATTATAACTATTAAGCAAGTTTGTAACTAACAACTAAAAATAGGTAATATGCTGCAATTTTTTTACTTTGTGTGCTAATTTATTTTTCTATAAATTAATCAAGTACGAACCTGACTGCAAATATATCTACATAGATAAATACATTTCCGTTTTGGAATTCCCTTACGTAAGAAACTTTAGATTTTGAGAAATTAACATATTATTAACATAAAGCAAGCGGTGATCAAATTGTAACATTTACATGGTAAACTGTTAAATTATGTTAATGAAGGACGTAATAAGCAAGCACTTCATTTATATTGCACAAACGTAACTTTACATATTATTTAATAGACAAAGATTGGTGTATTGAAAAGACAATCAAAATGCCTTAATACAATTATTGTTATCGGTATATTGCCCATACAACTAACTACCCTAATATGTAATAAAAAGTAAAAGGTAAATTTAATTATATTAAAGTGAAAAATTATACATTATTATTATTATGCGTCAGAGATTAGAAATTACTATTTTTTATAATATAATCGCGTTTTAAGTAAAGGTGAGCCAAAAAAAGAATACAATTACTTCCTTACCACATTATCTTTAATAAATCCATCCGCGCAGGCACACGTCGCCCCTTCCGGATTTAATAGACAAAATTCGTTGGAATCGCAGACCTTATTGCAGCGATTTGTGATGTTACGTGTCTGTCTATTTTCTTGAACTATTAAAATGTGTGATAGTCTTGGAAGTTGTTGAGCTAAAGGAAAAAGTTCTCCACGACCAAATTTATCCATTCGGAATACATTGTTCGTCTGATAGGTTGACAGGTAGACATTGTCCTCGAACACTTCGATTTTATACGGACGCATTTCTGAAAATTTAAGAGAAAAGTTAGTCTAATATATAATCTATCTATTATACAAACATGACACAATTGATAGCGAAAACCGGGAACAAAATGAGCAATGTTTCTATAAATCTAAACATACAATGCATACATACTCAATGTTCACAATTTGTAATTAATTTTGGTAAATAATAAAATTTGCTTAAATATCCACTTACTATGTTGAAAATTCCTGACAATTTGCCTGTCTGTTCCATCAAACTTGACCGATTCAATAGCCGTTGTTTTGGCGTCAGCCCAATACAATCTCTTAGCAGGATAATCTATTGCCATACCTGTCGGCCAGAGTACACCTACGTTCACCAATATTTTTCGCATGTTCCCGTCCATATGACTGACTTCAATTTTCGCCGGAGGTCCCCAATCGGTCCAGAACACCAAACCATCAGCGGGCGTTACTACTACGTCTCTAGGTTGTTGAATATCGTCTTTAGCAAGGGTGAAGGTCTGTTTCCCTTCTAAATCAGATACCACTATCCTATTCCCATCCGCGATGTATAATCGATAAGCGACCCAATCTACTGCTATTCCTCGGGGCTCTTTTAGGCCAGATAGTACCGTTTTAATTGCACTATTAGCCCTTTTCACTCTTGTTCTATTGTTACTACTACTGTGGTTTGTTTTGGATCCTGAAAAGTTTATGCTTTGTACGCGTTTGTTTTGGTGATCGGTCCAATACGCTGTCATCTGCTCAGGGCCATAAAGAACATCCAGATAGTCAACTTTGTACCCTGGTGCTGTAGCTAATATTGGCTTGCCGTATTCCTGATCAACATTTTCCCATTTGTATGGTGACATAAGCCTTAGTTCGGCTTCAGCGGCTAGTACCAGTTTTCCTGGTTCTCCTGAAGCTTTACAACTGCCGTTATTATTGTCATAGTAGTATCCGGGAGCACACTTGCAAGTATGATGTCCCGCTTTGCGTTCAATGCATAGTTGGGAGCAGGTATTCCATCGACATGCCGTTTCTTCGCAGCCCTCCTCGTCGCTATCGTCTCCACAATCATTCTCCTTGTCACAACGTAATGACATTTGTATACACTTGCCATTTTTACATCGGAACATGTGAGATCCGCATTTCTTCTCGCTCTTGCACACGGACTGTTCTTCATCTGATTTATCGCCGCAATCGTCGTTGCCGTCGCACACGACGTTCAGGGGTACGCACCGGTTGTTGCTACAACGTAAACGACCAGGAGGACATGCAAGTGTTGAGCACATGTGTAAAGCCTCGTCCGAGCCGTCTTCGCAGTCATTTTGACCGTCGCAACGCCAGTCGTCTTTGATACACAGTCCATTGTCACATTTGAATTCGCCTTCTGCACAAGCGTCGCTGCAATTTACTTCGTCAGAACCGTCAGGGCAGTCGGTTTCTCCGTCACATTTCCACTTACTGCAATCAAATTATTTACAAGTCTCAGGCATTAATATGATTACAATATAAACAAAGATCATAACGACAAGGCAATCTTTTAAATAATCGAATTAATGTACTTACATATAAATGCAGACTTTAGGGTTTGCACACTGAAATTCGTTCTGTCCACACTTGGATTGGCAGCCGATTTCGTCGCTTCGATCCTCACACTGGTACTCTCCATCACATCTTAAATTTCCGCGTATGCAACGTCCAAACGTGCAACGAAACTCAGACTCGGAACAATTTCGTGGGGTACATCCGACTTCATCCGATCCGTCACCACAATCGTTATCAAAGTCACATCGCCACCGGCCCGGTATACATCTGTTATTTGTACATTTAAAGTATGTTGGATCACATGTATGGAATTCGGGTTGACTACAAGTGGGTGGTTCGTCTTCGTCTCCGGCGCAATCCGAATCTCCATCACATCGCCACGCCATCGGTATGCAGCGGCCCGAGTTGCAGCGGAACTGATCACGGGGACATGTTCTCGAACGACATTCTTCCATTTCATCGGATTTGTCACCGCAATCGTTGTCCCCGTCACAAACCCAAACTGCCGGAACGCATTTATCATTTTCACATTTGAATTGATTTGGTGAACAAGAAGCTGGAGGACAATCGGCCTCATCTTCACCCAGGCGACAATCCTTGTGCTTGTCGCAACGCTTGTTTCCAGGTATACATCTGGGTGGTACTAAAACGGGGGGAAAAGTGAATAAATAGCAATTAAGTAATAAATAAGTAAATAATTAATAAATTAATAATTGTAAATGTTTCCTAGATGGGTCGAAAGTATGTATATATTAAAATGCATAATTTTGTTAATGCTTGCGACATACATACATACACATACAAAAAGGTTTATTACGACTTCTGTCACAATTATTCATGTTATCATTAGAGATGTATTGCAACTTACCCTTTTCATCTCCTTCGCATCGAAATTGATTGTTTAAACAAGTGTAATTTCGACAATTAATCTCGTCCGAGTTATCTCCACAATCATCAGTACCATCGCACAATTGTGACGGATGCACACAGTGTCTGTTTTCGCATTGGAACTGTCCGGGCAAACACTCAAATTCTCGACAGCCAGGCGGTTCGTCCGATCCGTCGCCGCAGTCGTCCTGTGTATCACATTTCCACCAAAACGGTATGCATTTGTACGTGTTCTTGCATTCAAAATGAGCGGTGGTACAATTCGACACACACGATTTTCCGTCAGGAGCAAGCTCATAGTTTTCAGGACAGGCGCATGTGTAAAACGGTGCAGTAGGCTTAAGCAAACATAACGCAGAACAGTTTGCTTTTAAACATGGATTATTCTGTGTCTCAATTTGCCTTAGTGGATGCACCACTCTTAAATCCATTGGTCTATGCACAGTAAAATAAAGTGAAGAGCAATTTTCACCGCTGTACTTGAGACATTTTCCAATAGATTTCGTTTCCCAATCGGTCCAATAGACATACTCCTCCCAGACAGCTATAGCGAACACATGATGCAACGGTATACCCAATTTTTCTGAACGACTTGCTATGATTTTGATGTTTTTGCCATCTAAATCTGAGACAGCTATATAATCTTCACGTGCGTCCGCCCAGAACAGTTCTTGGGTGTCGTAGGCAATGGTAAGTGCATTGGGCCAACCAAGACTCGAATTTACTATCACATGAGGGTTGGATCCATCCATTGCTGCTTTACCGATGTGTACGCGTATGCCCCAATCTGTCCAATACATATTGCCCCTTATGGGGTCCAAAGCGATGGCACGAGGCTCGTCTAGACCATCGGAAATCAATACCCTACGGAATTTACCTTTGAGCGACGACACTTCCAAAGTGTCCAAACCCTACAAATATTATTTTTATTTAATGATTAAAAACTATTCTAAGATAATATTGTTACAAAATTAAAAATAGATAAATTATACATAGAGTTCTTAAAAAATATTAAATACTTATATAAAATAATTACCTTATCACACCAATACAAATTCCGTCCTATCCAGTCAACAGCAAGCCCGTCAGGATTTTGCAATGTATTCTGATGCAGGATTTCTGCAGTAGCGTTTGGTGTGTCTTTGCAAAGTCGTTTTATGGAACTACCAGCAGCGGTCACGTCTGACCAGAAAATGCATTCACTCATTAGGTCAAAATCGAGAGCTACAGCATTTGTTAAATTGTGAGCAACAAGAGTTGAGTGGCCGTCAAGGGTCAATTCGCGTATATAGTACCTAAGAAAAAAGATGTTTATTAGAAACGTACTTTGTATACATTACAGTGATTATAGTATTTAATAACCATATTAAATAATGAATATCTATCAATTTCATATAAAGGATATTAATTTACCTGTTTGCTAACATTAGTTTGGCAGGTACAGTTGAGTTAGCGCGACAAGAATGCATGTCGGCTTTCATAATGTAACCATCAACGCATCTACACACATATGAACCTAGCGTGTTGTGGCATGTCTGGCTACAGGGTCGATTGGCGCACTCGTCCACGTCATCACAAAGGTGGTTGTCTTTTGGGCTGATTTTGTAGCCTTCCTTACATGAGCATGTGTAACCTACTTTCTCATCAGTACAATTCTGGGCACACGGTCGAGGTGCTGCGATACATTCATTAATATCTAAAACAAAAACACCATCTTAACGGAAAGATATATTTCATAATTATAACAGTTTGACGCCTAAGAAGAGAAAAACGTTTTTCTTCCAAAAATAAAATAATAGAGGAAATAAATTACAATAAAAAAATATTATACTGAATAATAATAGATAATATTTGCCCATTGCAGTAGAAGTATGCTCTTATAATTATAGATATTATACAGTGTAGTTATTTTTTTTAAAGACCAAATTTCTATAACTTTTTCTGTATTTCCTGATAAAATTTACGTAAGGAAATAAAAAGATGTGAATGTGAATCTTTATATTGCAATCATGAATACTTACTGCACTTGTTTTCGTCACTAAAATCGCCACAGTCATTCTCGCCATTACAGAGCATCGTCTCATTAATGCAGACTCCGTTTTTACACTGGAATCGTCCAGACGCTTTATCGCAAAGCTCTTTGCGACATTCGTCAGTCGTCTCATCCGAGTTGTCACCACAGTCGTCGTGCCCGTCGCACATTTGAGATCGAGTTATGCAATTTCCGTTAACACATCGATACTGTTTGGGGGTGCACTGGCTGTTCTTACGACACGCATGAGGCTCCTCATCCGATCCATCCACACAATCCAGATCACCATCGCAATAATACAATCGGTTTATGCACATCTTGTCTGCGCACTGGAACTGATTGGGTAGACATGTGGTTGGAGCACAACCGCCGGCTTCGCCCTCGTCTGCACGGTCCTGACAATCAGCCTCGCCGTCGCATACCCATCCTTTTGGTATGCAACGGCCGGTGCTGTTGCACCGAAATTCCCACAAACCGCAGGCACGATCTCGACAATGATCGCTCTCATCTGACAAATCTGGGCAGTCTGGTTGAGTATCACACTGCCATAATACAGGAATACAATCGCCATTCTTGCAGCGGAACTGATCGGCGCGACATTGATACTCTAAATTAAATAAAACAATAATATTAAATAAGAAATAAAAATTCAAAACATTTAAAAGCATTTTTATACCATTGGAGGTTAATGGGAAGGCGCCGCACACATATATTAATTTTATTTATTTTAATTTGCTAAATATAATATGCATTACAAATTTACTTACGACAACCTGTTTCATCTGAGTTATCGGTACAATCTGATATTCCATTACACCTTAAATTTGATGGAATGCATACTCCTGTTTCACACAGAAATTGATGTTTTTCACAGTAATTAGTATCTAAAAAGAAAAAAGAAATTAAAACTACAACGAAATGTATCTCGTACAATATAAACGAGTCCTATTCAATTAAGCTTACCTTAATGACAAAAAATATACATCTAAAGATGATAAATCAAAAAATTTTTAATGTTAAATTTTACATTACCACATTCAGCTTCATCAGAACTGGCGTTCACTCCTTTTCCATCCTTGCAGTCATCGATACCATTACATTTTACCCCGTAGGGCAGACATCGCCCATCGAGGCATCTAAACTCGTTCCACTGACACGTAACATTGGTGCAATTACGTTCGTCGGAATTGTCCCAGCAATCGTTTTCGCCATCACATATCCAATCTTTGTGTATACAAACCATCGTCTTTTCACAGTTTATCATCTTTGTATCTTTCATTTCTTGAACACAATTCACGGAAGCTAAAATAGAGATACAGTAAAACTCAACAGAGAGTGGTCAAGTACGTACTTAAAGATGTATAGAGGTAGAATACTTATCTAAATTCATTCATTTAAATTTCGTACTGTTTACTTACGGCATCCAATTTCGTCACTGAGATCCTTGCAGTCTGGATCTCGATCGCACATGAATTTCTTCATAATACATTCGCCACTGCCACACTTGAAATGGTCATCGTCCTTGCATGAGCAGTTTTTCTCGTCGCTATTATCACCACAGTCATCTTCGCCATTACACGTGACATTGTTAAAGATACAGCGCTTATTCAAACACTGATGCCAGCCCAACGGACACGTTCTATGTCCGCAATAACCAGCTTCTTCGTCTGAAGCGTCCGCGCAATGAGCCACGCCGTCACACGTGAGCTGGAAGGGAACGCAACCACCATCGGAACATCTACAAACAATGTGAATTTTATCCTCTTCTATTGCTGTTTTTATATCAAAAATAGGGAAAATCATATTAAGAAATTTCTGTAAATTAACTACAAAATAGTACTTAGACAATTTTAGTTTCAATTTAAAGGTATATACAGGGTGCTTCAAAAAAATGTATACACACTTTGAACTTCCAAACCGTTCTACAAAGTTAAATTTCAGGAAAATAGAAAGCTGAAAGTCCAATGTAAATGAAACATAAATAACAAATGTTAATACTGTTCAAATTGGTGACCTACAGCATCAATACAATTCTGAGTACGAGTCACCACAGATTCTGTACATCGTATCAAAACGTGATACGTGAACCGGGATTTATGGGTAGCATCATTTGGTCGGATGAAGCCCAATTCAAACTTAATGGAACTGTCAATAGGCACAATTGTGTTTACTGGGGTGAAGAAAATCCTCACATTACAATTGAAAAAGCTGTAAATTTGCCTGGTGTAAATGTGTGGTGCGGTTTGTCTTCAAGGGGACTCATTGGACCTTTTCGATTTGAAGGCACTGTAACTGGTATTAATTACCTAACAATGCTTGCTGATTCCATATTTCCTGCCATTCGTGCATTATACGGTAATGATGATTTTTATTTTCAACAAGATGGTGCTCCGCCGCACTATCACAGGGACGTACGAGCTTACCTGGATCAAAATTTGTCGGGCCAGTGGATAGGACGCAGGGGGCCAATCGAGTTTCCAGCACGCTCTCCAGACCTTACACCACTGGATTTCTTCTTGTGGGGCACAGTAAAAGATGAGGTGTACAAACGTAAACCACGTAACCTAGACATTCTTTGGAATGAGATTCAAGCAGTGTGTAGAGAAATCTCATTGGACGTTTTGATACGATGTACAGAATCTGTGGTGACTCGTACTCAGAATTGTATTGATGCTGTAGGTCACCAATTTGAACAGTATTAACATTTGTTATTTATGTTTCATTTACATTGGACTTTCAGCTTTCTATTTTCCTGAAATTTAACTTTGTAGAACGGTAAATAAATTTTCTATGGAAGTTCAAAGTGTGTATACATTTTTTTGAAGCACCCTGTATATGCATATGAAATATTGCAATTTTGCATCTACCGCATACCTGAATGATTCTCTAGTGCAATTCGAGCTCCTCTCACTAAAACACCTTTTACCATCTTCAGCGAGTACCCTCCCTTCAATACACGCGCACCGAACCTCTCCTGAAGAGTCGTACGCGCAGAGTTCTTCACAACCACCGTTAAACGTGAGACAGGGATTGGAGAGGCAGTCGTCAGTATCATTGGCTATGGCCACTATGCCCATAGGTTTCGCTACGTTCTTCCTGAGCCATACAAGGTCCTGTCCGGTCAATTTGTTCGCACGAAGAACGGCATGCAAGACCCAATCGGTCCAGAAGATGTAATTTTTATAAACCGCTATTGCAAACGGGTGCTGAGGGACCACTTTAACCAAAACGACGCGGTGTGAACCGTCGTAATGACATCGTTCAATCTTGTCCAAACGTGCATCGGCCCAATATAGATGATGAGCATAATGATCAAGTGCAAGTGCGTTCGGCATACGGATCTCAGTCGTGATGATGGACTCAGTACCAAAACCGGTAAGAAATGCCCGATCAATACTGGGTTTGAGTGAGTTCCAGTTCGTCCAGTAGACGCGACCACGACAACTGTCCACAGCGATGCCCCTGGGCTTATCGAATTGACTCAAACGAATGATCGTTTCGACCGAACTTGCATTCCTACCATCTTCAGTCAAATTGACTTTATTTATTGTGGCCTCGTTGTTACACGTCCAATATAACGCACGATTAACCTGCTCGAATGCTAGACCTTCTACTGATCCTTGCTCTTAAATAAAAACAACAACAAAAATTTAATAACTATCGATCTTTAGTAATAGTAATAATAACTTACTCTCCACTATAATGGTATGTCCGCTTCCATTAAAATGCACGCTATTAATCGACCCCCTTTGTATGTCAGAATAGAAAAGTAAACTATGCTGATAATCGAAAGCAAGCCCTATCGCGTTCCTCATCAGGCTGTTGTTTTTTATACTTGGATATGGAGAGTTTTGGATGTTTTTGTCGCTTATGTCGACAGAATCGATACTTACTACTCGAGAGTACATGACGAAGCTTTCATATTCTGAAATAATAATACAAAACAAAATTTATTAAACAGTTAAGATCATTATGTTTTCATAAATTAAATTCAAAACCGAGTCTGCGTGTGATCCATACATAGAGTTTGAATGCTTATTACATGTTTGATTTTGAAAGTCTATCGTATCAGTTACAATTACTAAAAACGTTTTTAAAATTCACCTTTACAAGTTTTACCATCACTTCCAATATATCCATGAGGACATGCGCAAATTGGATGAGTACCATTAAAAAGGCATAAATGTTCACATCCACCATTATCATTTGCACAAGCATTAGTGCCGTTCTGCCTTTTACGAGAAAACACTTGTATATCTTTCAGAGAATCTCTTTGATTCTTTAGCATGCTATGGAAGTCCGATAAATTAGAGAGAGGAGCATATTTAATGCTGCCCCTGTCATGCATCCTATTAATAAAAAAAAAGGAAATTATTTTAAACGGTTTATTATCGTTATATAATTATTATCTTACCTGTCAATCCAGTATATAGTATCTTCAAATATTGTGAAGGCAATGGGATATTCCGAAGATTTATTAAGAACAGCTGTTCTCTCCGATCCATCGTAGCGGACCCTTTCGATTGTGCGACTCTCTGAATCGCACCAGTAAATGTACTGATTATCGTAATCTAGGACAACATCGGAGATACTTGCAGAATTATTTAACAATAATTTACGATTTGAACCATCTAAACCGGCTCTCTCGAGTTTCGTGCCACCACCCCAAACAAGCAAACCAGCTGCAGGATCCACGGCCAAAGCAACGTTTTTGCCTATATTGCCGTACAACACTACATACCTCGAGGCACCATTTAGACGCGAAACTTCGATTACATCGCGTTTTACATCACTCCAATACATGTTACGAGCTGCCCAGTCAATCGCCAAACCTTTAACACAAGACAGAATTTTTGTACAATAAAAATATTCTTCGTCTTTTTGGTTTAATTCTAAAAAAGTGCACCTATCTATAATTTCACTCACCCGTTAACCAATCACCAGAAATTGTTTCCATTAGTTCTGTCTGTTCCAAAATAACGGTACGATTAGTGCCATCCCTATTAATTGCTTTCACAGTACCATGATCGCTGTCCGCCCAAAAGAGTTTATCTTCATCAGCCAAGAAGTCTATAGCACTTGCCATCGATACACGAGATATAGGTCCAAGAACTTCAGTTTCATTGTTTCCGTCTAAGGGTAGACCGCATATTTCCCAATTAATGGAATAAAAGAGGAAGTCCTTGGCTCCCACACATTTTGTTGGATCACTTTTGTCCACCATAAAACCAGTAGCACATTTACATACAAATTCTGTAGATGAAGTAGGAAGACAGAGGTGCTGACATCCACCGCGATTATTCCCGCAAGGATGACTGCCCTCCTGTAGCATGGGATCGTATATGCGAAGAGAAAGTACGTTACTTGTCGAATTTCTTAATATCCTGTCGTCAACGCCTATAAGTAGTTAATAAATATCATTAAAAAAAATTGATTCAAGCAACTATTACATTATTTTAAAACTAACAAGTACTCTTTTTAAGTAAAGCTAAATAACAAAAATTAGTCTGAGTGTAGGAACAGTTGAATATAAATTTAAATATGAATAGGAATACTGAAGTTAACTTTGGCGATCGTTTTGTGATTTAATTATTTATGACCTTTTCTCTTTTGTCCAAGAATTTCCGACCACAAGCAAACAAAAAGACAACCCTTACAAGCCATTGTATAAGTTTTTCAAAAAAACATACAACTGGTCTACCTGATATTTTGTCCGCCACATGAATGGATTGTTCGTCATCTTCAGCATAATAAATATATTCCTGATATACTGCAATTGCCAAAATCGCAAAATCATTGGTTATATTTAATTTCTGTACATTCTTTCCGTCCCTGTTCGAGAAATAAACACTGTGATCATTTATCCAATACAATCTTCCTGTTGTAAAGTCGATGTTTAAACTTTTAGCATTTAAAGAAAGATCAGACACCAGCACTTCGTTGCGGCTCCCATCCATTGAGCTCCTTTCTATATTTGCTGTTCTATCGTATAAGGAAATTCGGTACAATTTTCCGTTTGCAGGATCCGCAGCTAAACTGACCGCTATTCCAGAATCACCAGCCAGTTTCATAATGTACTCCGCTTCCAGATTACAAACCATTATCCCAGATGTTGAACTAATAAATAAGAGATTCGAAAGCCAATCGACAGCTAGGCCATTTGGATGTATAATGCCTGTGTCAATGAGCGTTTTCGTAGGTCCTGAAGTCAATCCCGTTCGTTTTATCTCACTAACTTGATAATCAGCCCAGTATAATGTTTTGGTTCTACTTAAGAAGTCTATTTGGCTGGGACTTAGCACTTGGGGCACACTTATAGTCGGAATCATGTAGTAATAGGGCTGAAGCAAATCTATCCCTCGAATCTCATTGTTTCTTGCTATTAGTAGCACACGTTCGTTCACTGTAATCATGTTATAAAAATATGTGACCTCACTGTAAAAAATGAACTTAAACTTAAAAATTTAGCATTTAAGTAAGCATTACTCTTTACGTAAAGCAAAAGTGTTGTTTTTATTTACCAACGCATGTGCGATTGTCAATGTCAAGACGCATAACGTGGGGACAGTCGCAACGATACGTTCCATTAGTATGAAGAAGACAGAGATGTGAACAACCGCCATTTTTTGTTTCACAAGGACTGGGACGAACCCCTCTTGGCTGCCTACTAGGGTGCAGTACCAACAAGTCAAAAGGTTGGGTCAATGTACGATGTATAGTATCCAAATCTTTACCAGTCCACTTGTTAGCACGTACGACGCTGTTACTACGCCAATCAGTCCAATAAACGTAATTTCCGTACAAAGTGATTGCAAAAGGATGAGACACTGATTCATGTTTGCGCATAACTTCTCGCAAATCGGAACCGTCATAACGTGTTGTATGAATAGAATCGGATCGAGCATCTATCCAATAAATGCGGCGTGTATCATAATCGAGAGTAAGACCATTCGGCCAGCCTCCTCCCACAATCTTGTCGACGCGTACAATAATCATCCGATCCAAACCTGCTAACGTGCATCGTTCGATACGAGGCGCCGAATTGTCCCAATCTGTCCAAAAAAGAAGACCGTCGCGCGGATCGAGAGCGATTGCACGAGGGCTTTCCATATCTCCAGCAACCAAAGTGCGCCTGAAACTGCCGTTTAAACGAGCCACTTCTATCTGGTCCAGGTTGCTCTCGACCCAGTACAAATTACCACCGATCCAGTCGACGGCCAGGCCTTCAGCTGTTGACAGACCAGTCTGCACGACGACCTCAATGTTGCTCAGTGAACCACTAATCAATGTACCACGGTAGATTTTGTCGTCAATTATGTCGGTCCAAAATACCTAACAATGTTAAATACGTGTATGACTAACAATGACTGAATAAAATATCCCTATATTTTGTAATTTTAAATGACGTATTACTTGTAATGAAAAAAAAAAAATTATCTACATAATGTGTCTTTACTGAATGAAAGCAATAGAAAAAGATGTGTCAGCGTATCAATTTATATTTAACAAAACTCGCAGCTATATGTGGATAAAGAAATATGGACCACAATAAATAGTAATTAAGTGACTGAGTAAGGAATTATGTGTGTAACTCACCATGTCAGCATCATCTGAATGATAAAAATCAACGGCTATTGTGTTCTTCAAACTAGCTATGAGAGATTTTGCGCTAAAGTCATGGAGATCGACTCCCTTCAGTTCGTGTCTGTTGCTGAATATAATGTAGGGTGTTGCTGGGTCGTTGCTGTTACACGTGAATTTGTCATCTGATAATGTGTAGCCGGGTAAACAAGCGCACTTGTAGTTAGACCGTTTTGGATGACACAATTGCGAACAGACACCCCACAATTCGCATGGGTGGGTTTCAAGACATGTAGTCTTATTTGGCAATAGATGCCAGCCATGTGGACAATAGCATACCATGCCTTCAGGAGAATTATGGCATTCATGGGAACAGATTGAGGACGCCAATGTACACATTTGTTCTGAACATCGTAGGCCTTCGTCTGATCCATCTGCGCAATCATTGACTTCATCACAAAGACGTTCCACAGACACGCATGTAGTTCCATTATCACATAGACGATTCGGATGGTCACATTCTAGTTCAGGTGGAGGGGTAATTGAGTGATTTGTTGCGTTATCAATCTTTGACTGAGAACAATTGTGCTCGTCGAAACCATTTTCACAATCTATTCTGCCGTCACATTGGAATTTCTACAATAGAAATAACTGCTTCACAAATACTTAACATTTTTATATTGTAATAGAAGATTTTACTATGTTAATTAAATTAAAATTATAT